ATCTCTGTAAACAGGAATCACATTTCTCTCAAGACCCCAACAGCCAGGGGAAATAAAGGATAGCAAATGACCCTGCCCATCGTAAGCTGCTGCTCTAGCAGGTTAGAGTATTGTCACCATCTGTGCACCTGTTTTCAGAGAACAGGAGATGAGGAAAGTGTATTTTTAAAATGAACTTAAGAACTACTGCCAGCAGTTTTTCTTTAAAACTCCTTTACTTGGGGCTTTCTCAGCTATGTTTTTATTTCGAAGACTGTAACCGTACCATATGAGATGTGTCTCTGGGTGATTTGATCTGAAGCCTTTCCGTCCTGGCTATGGTACTGATTTGACAGACTTTCAAGGAGGATGCCCGGTGCCCTTGCAGAGCTAACATAAGCCTTCACTGCTCCTTTGCTACCAATATGGTGGCCCTAAAAGCCCTAGCTTCCACATGTACTTTGTGCCCAGCTAGTGAAACAAGACCTTAGTGGGAGGTTTTCCAATTTGGGAAGGCAGTTACATGAAATATTTCAAGTCTTCTCCTATTAGTCATGCCACCAGATATGCAGGGTCAAATATGGTATAATTCAAGCTGTCTGATGTGTAAACTGTGCCATGCCAGATTCAGGCCCAGAAAAGAGCACATAAATTAAGCAGCACCTCATTGACTTCAAATGTGACTCTGAACACATGAAAAAGGATGAAGCTGTTGTGAAACTGTGGAAACACCTCTTTATTAAATCGCTACTTATCTGGCAAGAAAGCTACCAAAGAGTATACTTGATTTTCTTCTGTCCTTCATGATGGCAGACCAGAGATAAGACTGGCCTGAAATGACTGTAGTAGGACTTTCATTTTCTGGATAGTGGTAATAACCAATACCCTTAAATGACACAAAAGTGTGTTTAAGAGCACATGGTAGAGTCTCTGCTATATTTGCATATGTCTCCTCTTGCCTAGAGAAAGAGAAGCCTAGACTAAAGCTAATGAGAAATCAGTGCCACTATATGTGTTGGTTGGTCAGCCTCTGCAATTTGCATTATTGTTTCCTTTTTTTCAGTCTTCCTAACCATCTGCTTGGCTGTTATCACCCACCCTGTTTTGAAATCGATATCTATTTTAATGTCTTTGAGCTTCTAATGAAATGGAAGTAATAAGTACACTAGTATCAACCATATGACTCCTTTCAGGGTATTTTTCTGGTGAGATGAAACCTGCCTGATAAAAGGAAAAAGTAATATCCAGAATACATGAATATGCTTATAGTCCAAAACCTATAATGTGTAAGTTCTGTTCTYGAGTTCAGTATTCAGAGAGATCCTGAATTTAGATAAGCTCAGTAAAAGAAGATGCTTGCAGGAGAAAAGCATAATGAAAGTTTACCAACAGCTAAATTAACCATTAACAATTGTCAATGCCTGTAGCTCCCTATGTTTTATCAATGTCTACAGCTGTGTGTAAGCACTGCTAAAAGCGGTATTTAAAGATTAGCCAGCCCTGTATGCACAGGATGAATTATTACCCAAAGTGATAATCATCACTCCTAAAAAGGAAACTATTTTCTGGGGTTTCTCCTTACAGAGCTGTGAAACATATTCTTTCATTTGAACTGGCAAGAATATTTCCATGGCTTCCCCTTTCTAGCTTCATTTCAAGGTCACCACTGCTTGAAAAAAATCAGCAGTAATATATCAAATTGTGTTTGTAAGTGAAGCAATCTGGAGAAGAGTTAGAATATAAATTGATAACATTAAAAGGAATTAAATTAGCGGTGAAATAAGGTCTCTGGAATAAAATCTTAGTATTTGTTACAAATAAGAAAAATTATCTACAGCAAAAAAGCAGCAAGTTATTAAATGTTATCAAGAAAAAAATATTTACATTTCAGTTATGRGAATGTAATTTTATAAACTTGACAATCCACTTTAATTAAGTCTGCTGTCAAATACTTTTAATTTGGATTAATATAACTTGACAATCTGGGTACAGTAGTTAATTATTAAAAATTAGCCACATGATTGTGATGTTAATATAATTCCTGAATTGTTTGTTATAGATCAGAAATCTTAAAAAGGGGAAAAAYTGACCTGAAATTCTGAATAAAATATTCTCTAGACAAACTTAAAAAACATCAAATCTGGAAACAAAAGTTTTCCATTTTGACTTGTTAAAGACTTAGCAGTGGATAGTTAATATTATATTCATGCATAGAAAATATATTAACTGAGGAGTGAGTTTTTTATGATGATGACTGCCAGATCCATTAACCAAAATGTCAAATAATCCTCAGTTGCCAGCCAAGGCAGCAGTAGGAGTAGGTGACATTGCCCTCTACTTTGTCTGCCATTGGAATATTGCTATCCCAGACAAGATTTCATGGGGCTGCAGGACCAGGTGGGTTTGCTGTGCCCTTCACTGATTTCTAGTGAAACAGCAAAAATTTCTTGTGCCTTCCTAGCATCTGCAACTCATGGTGTGGCACAAACAGGGTTTTCCAACACAGTTGTCAGAAGACTGTAATTTACACTTAGGCTCTGTGTACATCACAAAAGCAAGAGATGGATTATTACATAGGCACAAAGAACCCAAAGAAACTGAGAAAAAAATAATCATAAAAACAACAGTAATGATAATCAGAAAGTATACGCCGGGAAAATATATGTATGAAAAGAATTATCTAGGTAAAAAAGGTATCAGTAAGTATTTAATTTAACCATAGCAACTTCAGAGCTTCAATGTGAGCTAGACTTTGTCATAAAAGAGATGAAAAAGCAACATTATAAACAGATCATTTTAGCTTATCTAAAAGATATCCTAAGTATTCATCACTCATTACAAAATTAAACTGTCATATCTAGTAATGACTTAGAGAATTCAAACTAGAAATATCTCACTTGAGCATTCTGAAASTTTGACTTTCTTTGAAGCACATTTGAGTGTAATTAGAACAGAATCTTCAAAGAGCTCACCATCTGACTACCTATTGTGAAAAAAGGCCAAAAGGTAGCTTTTCACCAACAATTTATAAACTTCATCTCCCACATCCCTGGGACTTCCTGGTCACAATTCTAATCAGCAGAGTAAAATGGGGGAAAAAAGATGGTAAACATTCAAAAGCTACCTCACAAAAAGGGTAGACTTAAATTCTTAGCTGTTATTTGAGAATAATTTTTGCCGTTTTCCCTTGTCATTTCTTTCATTACAACCTAATTATTTCACAACCATTTTGACTGAACGTCTACAGAATCCTGCTCTCATTGGTCACAGTCAACCTCAAATAGAAGCATGCCATGACTTGTAAGTTTTATTAGTATTAATGAATGAGAGGTGAGTATGTAATTGAATTATTGTTAGTGTCTCATGGTCAGGTCCCTGTAAAAAATACACTCTGAAAATTATGACAAGAAGGTGACATTCCGGTCCCATCTAATATTTTTACATTCTGCATTGAGTTTACCAAATGAAATTCCATTGAACAACCTATAGAATAAGATCAACATTCAGATATTCACAGTTTCTCAGAGTGACAAAACCAATATATTACCACACAGCAACTCAAAATCATCTGAACACAAGGTGAAATGGGAATAAATCCACGCCCGAAATCTTATATGAAAACACAGAAATCGTGTTTAAGAGTAACAAAGGTGCTGAAAGGAAATCATGTCCTCAGTCCTGGTCTTTCTGTTGTTTTCCTGACCTTGTCAAGTAATTTTATACACATTGTGTTTTAAACTTTTTAAGACATTCATTCTAYGTCACATGAAGCATGGATGGTAATAAATAGCTACTGGTATTTTATTTTCTCAAAGGACCTATCCTATGACTGTCACTTCATTCTACATTTTGTGATTTGGAGAGGACTCATCAAAGAAGAAAAAATGGATTTTTGTCAAAATACTCTGAATGGTTAGCTTTTTTTTGGGTGTAATTTCCAAATTATGTAAGATAGTTCTGTCATCTTGCATCTACCTAATGTTTCAGAAGAAAGCCTGGTAAAACTTTCCAAGCATCAAATGCTTCTGAATCTAAATCAAAGCTAAACAGATGCCATCAGAATAAAGAAAATTTTTATTTTGCCCTTCAAAATATCCAGTCCTGAAAATGGGGAACTAAACTGAACCCAAAGTATTCTGCCTTGAACTTTGTAACAAAAACATTCTAAGATTTTATAAAAACTCTCTTATAGCACAGAAGTTATAACAGAAATTTCTGGTTATTTTTAGATCTTGGGGKTTTTTTTACCTCATCAGAACTAAAATAAAAGTAATAGAAATATTCTTCCTTAATCAAAATAGCAAGAATATATATAAAATGGTGTCACAAATTAAATGAGCAGGCTCCTGGAAGTTCAGTTACATAASACAAATTACAACAGCCATACTTGCGTGTTAGATTTGCCCAAAATGCAAATAACAATGGCTCTCTCACTGTACAAGACCTTGTAATGTAACTCCTTTTTCAAATGCTGCATGCTTTTTCATATCTGGAAAATAGGTGCTATAGCCCCTCATTACATTATCTACTGTCAGAGATCTATTACTGTAAGAACTAAAAGAGAAGCTAAGAGTCATAGTCATTTTCGTGTTTTAACTGAAAACCTGTAATGCTCAGAAACACTGCTTTTATCATATTTCAGCATTTTCTAATCTATTTTGACTCAAGTGACTGCTCTCCCAACTGTGAAATCTATGCCAGCTGACACCCCTTCTGCCTCTCAATCCCATTAACATGTGCCCATATTGCAAAGAAAAATTAAATATTAATTCTTTTTCATGTCCCGCCTTTGGCATATCTTGCATACCTCTGCCCTCTCCCGCAACGTTCCAACTGCCATAGCAGCACATCTTGCAGTCTGGAAAACACTATCAAACTCCAACGCAGACTACAAGCAAAATATTCTTCATTGCACAGCAAGCAAGCCTGATTTTAAAATAAATTCAAAGCACAGTATATAAATATATATGTATATGTATAAAATGTATATATATAAATACATAGAGATTATTTTCACTCACAAGAGGTTCTGCCATGATGATGCGAATCTTGCGTTCAGCCAGAGTAGTAAAGTTAACAAACAAGCTCTTCAGGACATATTCGCCTGGTTTACTGTCCGGGTCAATGCTGATTGGCAACATGGCTGGAGGTCCTTTTTCTCTCTGTGTGCCAGAAACAGGAGGAACAGGTGGCTTGATGTATCCGTTACCAACTGGAGAAGCTGAAATGTAGAAAAGACACATGTACTTTTGAGTAATTCAACATGGTTTAACCTTTATAGAGCACCTCAACAGCCTTCTACACTGTCAAAGCAAAATTAGAGACTAGCTGCTAATTAAAGACATATACAACACATAAATGTATCTTCCGTGGTACCATGGGTAAAATATACATTATCTAACTGGAAGAAGAAATCAAAGACAAAATCTTTTCTATTAATATTGAGAGGTGTTTTTTGGTCTTTTTTGGTTTGTTTTTTTTTTGCATGGTAATATTTGCTGACACTCAAGTGTTTGAATAACATCCTCATTTCTTATCTTTTGCTTGCAGGTCAAACCTATAACTCAGTTGTCAAGGAACAAAAATTTATTTTTTATTGCTATTCAAGCTAGGTTAGCCTTGCAAAAGTCAGGAGTCTCATCTTTTGATTATGGTGTGTAGTAAAGGGTCTTATTCTCCTCTAACTTACACTGCGGTCAGTCAAGAATGACTCAAGAAACAATACACGTTACCAGTATAAATCTGACATGAAGAGTCAGACATGAAATGTTTTCCATGGCCAAAACAATATTAATTACGTGTTAACTTTCCTGAAACTACCAAACCCAAGTTCCACTTGGCACTTCTGAGATTACACCTGGTGTATTGCGCTCAGTTTCATGCTTTACCATACAAGAGTGACATTGCTACTACAAAACAAGACCAAGAGAAGACCATGAAGATGGTCAGGTGCTCACTAGATTAGTAAAGACTGAGAGTGTTGTACTGATTCAACCTTGAGAAGAGAATCTTGTTGCCCTCTTTAGCCACCTAATGGAGTATAGCAAAGATGACAAGGAACTGCTCTCTTCTTTGAGCACAAGATGATGGGACAAGAGCCAACAGACATTAGTTTGAATGTGGGAAATTTCAGTTAGATATGTGGAAATAATCTCCACTGTGAGGGGGTGATCAAACACAGATACATGTTGTCCAGAGATACAGCACAAACTCTGCTTTTGGAGACACTTGACTGGACAAGGCCCTGAGAAACCTTCCCTAGCTGGTGAGCAAGCTGAGGCTCAACTAATCATCCACCAGGGATACCTTCCAATTAAAATGATYCTGTGATTGAATTCCCCATAACGAGTATCTGTTTTTCTGTGAATGAAGGAAAGTAAGTTGAAGCTCTTCAAATTTTACTATTTTGCACATACAATTTCCAAACCAAAATCCTCAGGGCTCAGCTCTTACTAGCAATAAAAGTCATGTTTGGTCTTCAGGCAGGTACTGGTAGCACCCTCTCTGTTAGTTTTGCCAGAGACAGTAAATTTCAGTAACACTGGCAAGACCAGCTATTATCCAGTCTGATGTAACGCAAGTGTCACAATGCCCACAAGCACTACTAGTGATTGGGACAGAAAGGCTTTAATGCAATATAAGCCATGGAAATATTGTGAACTAAAACCATTTCCCCACAGCACTGTACTCTGGAGTGTTATATTATGTCTCATCCAGGTTGCAAAGCTGGAGAGAAAGAATGAACTACAATGATGGTTGCCTCACATCTAATACCTTTAGCCTTTTCCTTTCAGGGACAGAATTACAGCTGTTACTGAAAGTAATTGTCAATTATTAATAACGTGATTGTTTTAAGAATAAATGAGATTTTTTCCTAAGTACTTTAACACTTCACTGCAGAACAAAAATGAAAAAAATTCCAAAAGAAGAATCCTTATTATTTGAGAGCATTCAAAATATGGCAGAATCAGAACCCAAAATCATGCACTGAAAAGGATCCACTGGAGAAAAGAGAACATGTTTTCTTTCAGAAAAAAAAACAGTTTAAAAGTTCCTACATTACTACAACAGAGAACAGAAATGCTTCTCTTCCTGTAGCTATTACTCTGCAAGTGTAACACATCTATACTTTTCTTTGAAAAGAACCCCTGCCTGACAAGGTATAGCATCAATCTTCAGCACAGCAATAGCACTTCTCCCACTGCGACAGATGTTTCTGGCTAGATTTCTTTCCTGCAAAGTTTCMCTTGATTTTTGAGGGCAAAAGCATAATAATAGAATCTTCCTGGCAGTATGACTCTTCACACAAAATGAAGAGTATAAAACAACCCTACATTCATATTGCACAAAACTTGTTCTAAAAATACACTGTTGTTCTCAATAATAATCCACTTCAAAGTAGTAAAAAAAGAGCCACTAGAGAAGAGTTCAAGTGCTACTGCTCTTCTGTCACCACCTGGGTGAATGAACATGAAGAYAGTGGGACGCAAAGGATCAGATACAAATTTTTATGGACTATTGAATACACTAGGCAATGGAAATCTCTCCACAAATAGCTTTAGGATGGAGTGAGACAATATTTTTACAATTACAAATATATTTGCCAAATGCGTGGTTTTCACTGGCTTGCATCTATCCATGAAATCAGTTTGATCGCCCAGTGCTCAGTCAGGAAAACTTTTTTATGAGTGGTGAAACCAATTTTCTTAAGATTTGTGTCCTCTATGCAGTGAAAGCGCCGTCCTTCCCAGTGCCACCATGCCGAGCTGCCCGCGCTTTTGGCAGGCTCGGTGCCGAGCACTGTGCCTGGGCTGGGCTCTGCTCCAGCCTCCCCTGCCAAGCACAGCACACCCGAGCCGGGCCGCCCTGCACCAGGGCCAGCAGCCAGCCTGGGCTGCCTCCTCAAGGAATCTGCAGCAATCTCATCAAACACCAACTTGCCTTCTCCAGCAACTCTGCTTTGAACCTGGCTGATGAGTTCAAAATGTACTGTGAAGGCATGCATAGATCCAAGGAATTCAAGGCAGGCAGGCAGGTGGTGCCTGAGATCAGGTACGCTTCGTGTCCTGATGAAAGTAAATTTGAGAAACCTTAACCATGCTACCACTGGGAGCTGCCACCCTAATCTTCAATCATTGTGGCATTCAGCCAGGATTCTGAGACTGGAATTTAAATCCACACATTACTTGTTAGTAGGAAGCCTTTTAACAATGATTCTGTTAAGTTTGTGACACAGGTGGAATGAATCTTTTTTTCCAGACGTCTAACTGAAAAACCACTTATTTGCGCACCATAATGCAATTATCTGCGAGACTTGCCAGTGTTTATTCTAGTTCTTCTCAGAAATATAGAACTGTATATAATATAGAACTGCCTTTCCCCCAAACACAGAACAAGCATATCCTGGGGTTAACATCCATCATTACTACAGCAATTACAGCAGTTAGAGAAATGACTGACATGTGACATTGATTAAGTTCAATTTTTTAAAAGACCATTTTGTAGCTGTTAACACCATTTATGCATCTTTAGTGTGAAAGCTAACATTGCCAACACTGCAAATGTCTGGAGTTGATCATGAACTATTATATGCAGGTTTGGCTTTCTAAGGCATCTTTTCAGCTCCATTATCTCCAGTATTTGCATATGCTTGCTATTTGAATTGCAAAAATCTGTCCCAGTGACAAGACTATCACTGACATCTATGCTGATAATACATGAGCTTTAACAGAATATAGCTTTTATGTCTCAATTGAGAGCCCTACAAAGCTCACCAAAACAAAGTTGCCTCTGAGACATAAAACTGGAAATCAAGGACTCAAAATTTAAGAAATAGGTGCATTGGAGTTATCCATAGTTCATAGCTATCCTTTATGTTCACACATAATGGGAGCTTCAGAAGCAGCAATAAAAAGATGTGCTCAGTTTTGCCATCTACACCAGTGAAACACTGCCCCATTAAATAAAAGGCATAATTTTAACATGAGAAATCGGCATATATAGTTTGTATGGGCTGATGTAGAAGATATCTGGAGGGAGGTGGGCAGAAGGAAGGAGTTATACTCAATTTGAGATACTGACTTCCCCAACAAATTTGGTTTTTACTGCATGATTTCAAAATATTAGATGTTATACAAAGAGAAGTACCAGAACAGACCACAGAAGCATTTAGTTTGAATGTCTTCACATTGAAGATTGAAGGGTACTGGGCACCACACAAGTACTACATTAAGCTAAACCCTTTACCTAGAGAAAAGTAGCTCATTTCCCAGGAGAATGAATGGTCATACCAGCACATGGAGGAGACCATAGTACCCCTGATAGCCGAAGACTCTGCAGTAGCAGGGAATCTACAGATCAAGATTAGGAATTTGTACACATATTTAAAACTCCTGTCCTATGAAAATCCGTAACAAAGTTTAACTATGCTTGATCAACTACAAAATGTCTGTACCATTTGGGGGTGTAGTTCTGCCTGAAACACATTTTCTTTTTCCTGTTTCTCTACTATATGTGCAATAAGYGGAATTTCAGATTATACTTTTATCATACAGGATATTTTCTTTTGGTCCAGATTTTAATCAAATTACTTTCTCAATGTCTCAGTGTTTTTAAAAAAAACAAACACAAAGAACAAATATGGGCGCATCAATGCAGTATCGCACATGGTTGTCATCACAGCCACATACTATTGCCACAGAAAGRCTTACTGACACAAAAGCATTGCTAAATTTTTCCATGTATTGATCATTTCCCTTGATCAGAAAGAGAGTTGTAAAAAGCACAAAACTAGTTTTAGTGCAACACACAGTCAAAATCAGATCATGGGGATGAGTACCAAATTAAATTACCATAAGAGATCACCTGCTATGATCTGTACTACAAGTACTTTTCTTAAAGTTGTAAGAGGAATCAAAACTAGTGAACCATCACAATACACACACCAAGAATCTGTGCTATGCTGGATACAACTTCAGCTGTACACAGTTACTGAATTTTCATGTTTTTAAGCAGAAAAAACAGAGGTTGCACTTTTTTTTAGTAAATTGTGTTATATTTACACTTTAGCAACAATGAATGAACTAACAAGACAAACGCAAACATCTATTTGCAGCATTTTCATACCTACCGAGCCCCTTTATAAAGCCGATCATGGTGGATTTTCTCCAACATGCTACTGTAATATCCATAARCTTGTGAATACCTTAAATGTTTCACTCC